TGGAAATACATCTAACTCTGAGCTTTTATGGTATACTCTTATTAACTAGAATGTTTAATTTACTAAATATCTCACTTATCTTTGGGTTATACTAAATTTTGTTAGACTGAGACAATCAACTAACCATATAAACAAAAGATACTGAAAAACAAAAGAAGTTTTAAAAATACAGACTATTGAGACTAATTGAAGTTGCCTGATAATTGAGATATACAAAGAATCTTAGAATCTCTATTTCTGGATTCAGAGTCCAGAGTGCACCATGGAATCCATATTAGAATCTTTATTTCTATGCTTGAAAATATTTAGAGGCAATATATGTTGAGATGGAAACGAATATCTTCCCTAAAATGAATCCCTGACAAGAAGCTCACGATTTTACTTACATTTTCTTAAAGCAGACCATTCTGTCACTTACATTTTGGGTATTTGTTGGATGCTGCAAATGTATAAGTAACATTCCCTAGGCAATTGTAATTTGGTAAGAACAAAAGAACAGTGAGTTACCCCAAAATATCAGTTCTGTGGGAATTTCTTCACGCCCTTAAGTTCCTACCTAGGCCACCTCGTGGTGGCATCAGCTCTTTAGGCTCTGGCCCACAGAACAATGCTGCCAAATTACTGCACCAAGGTGGGAGCCCTGCTTTACCGGCTGCCCCACCAAGAGCCTGCAGCGATTATTGTAACCTTTCAGCAGGAGCAGAGAGGCTGCAGCTGTAATTAGGAGCCCACAACAGAAGTATTGATTGCTATCACTCCGTAGGCCACATGCTATGGAGAACGCAGGGGCGCATTCTGCCTCTGCACTCTCCCACTGTCACTATGCCAGCAGAGGGGTGATGTGTCCAGCATAAAATCACTGCTTCCTCCCCTTTTGTGCAAATTGCTGTTGAATTTAACTTGAATAGCTCCGCTTCCTTTATATTAGCAACACATGCAATGCTCTTTACCCTTTGTAAAAATACACCCCAGGAGGGAATGGTCTTCTGGACAAGGGGTCTGCTTTTACTAAGTAGGGGGCGCACTAGTGACCTCTGATGCAAAAAGACTCTAGGTGCTCATGACTCACGGAGACAAGACTGATGAAGTACATCGCTTTTATCTTTGCTAACTCAGAGAGATTCTCCATGTCAGGCTTCTCTTGTTTCTGTTCCTCATTCCTTTCCGCTCAGGTCATTTCCCCAGGGAAGATACAAGCATACCCCTTTTAATGGCCTTCTGTCTTTCTCAGGTGCGGTACCTGATGGTCATCTTTTCTTCCTTAAACCAATGGAATATATCCATAAATTTCCTGCAGGTTGGCCACCAGAGTACACCGAATTGAATCAGGGTTTTGTTTCCATCATCACATCCCTAACCAAAAAAGAAGCTATTTTGTACATGGACCTAAGCTCCAGGCTGGATGTAAACTTCATGTACTGCAAACATGACGGAGAACAGGACAGTGCTTTCAATTTACAATTTGCAGTATTTCACTTATGTCATACTCTATGACATGTCATTTTCTTCTAAATAATTTTGAGTTTTAAATAACTCAGATTATGGTTACTTCATTTTTGTCTAACACAACTACACCTTTAGATTATTTTACTCCGAATGAAATGCTAATACATTATATACCAGACAGTTATGAAGTTTCCTGAAAGAAATAGATTATCTTAAACCTTATTAAATCACTATTTCCATAGAAAGGGAAAGGAAGAGGAAGAATGTAAACTCATGGATCTCTTCCCAGTGGGGTAGGTTTTAGACAATTTCATCACTATGTGAACATCAGACAGTGACTCCAGGTGAGCTGAGACGGTGCGGCCTGCGACCTGGCGAAGGCACACTCATTGTAGCCCGCTGTGCCCAGGGCACAGAGCTGTGCAGCACTGCACGCTGTGGCGACTGGTGCACACTTGTGCACCTAAGTGTGTCTGACACAAAGGGCACAGTGGGATGCTGGACAACAGGGACCACCAGGTCCACCATAATTCTGTGAGCTCAGCCTCACACATGAGGGTCCAGGACTGGATGTGATAGGTTTGGGGAAAGGCATCATCACTGAATGTCCAATATGGATGAACGATTGTATGAAACAGAATTGATAATCAGAGTAGTGTGATTTACAGAAGATATTATGTTCATGGGGCAGTGTTTTCACAGGTATAATACTGTAATTAAAATTCCTAATTATAGCCAAGCGTGGCTGGCTATAATTACACCTGTAGTATAATACACCTGTAGTCCCAGCACTCAGGAGGCTGAGGCAGGAGGATTGTCATGAGTTCAGGTCCACCCTGAACTACACAGTGAGACCCTGTGCTAAAAAAATAAAACAAAACAAAAAAAAATAAAAACAAAAAACAAATCCTAACTATAGCTGGGTGCATACCTGTTCAAGGCCAGGCTGGGCAATACTGTGAGCTCAAGGCCAACTTTAACTACATAGCAAGACCTTGTCTCATAAAACAAAATAAAACACAAAAAAATCCAAATTATAATTACTAAGTAAAAGAGTACACATGGAAAATTTCAAGGCATGAGCATTAAAGACTGCAACAAAGAACTTACAGTATGTTCATATTTGTACAAAATTATTTAACATTTATTTATAAATTTAAAGACAAAAGTTAATTTGGAAGAAAAATTCTTTGGAATATTGTATGCAGATAAAATGTTAAATAAGCTCTTTGTTTTATTATTTCATCTTTTTAAGCCTTATAAAATGAAATTGGACATCGTAATTTTTAAATAATACTATAGGTAATTCACAAATATAGTTACCATAGAACAATGATTCTATTTTATTTCCCTTCCCCACAGGCAAAGAATCAACAGATATAGCAACTATTCAAACAGATGTTCCTATAAGCTGTTTCCAGAAACTCTGAAAGTTGCTGTACAATATGCCAACAGACTTTTGCTTATGACTAAACATAAACTTTGTATTTCAGAGTTGCCTAGGACAGTTACCTCATTGTCATCCTAGCACCAGGAGATCCTCAATCCAATGCTAACAACGAATGAGAAACACTGAACTTAATCCAGTTTAGTTAGCTCTAAGTTCTGAACTTTGGAACGTTCCTAAAGAACTATGATCTAGAATTACTCAAATGAATTTTGCCAAGAATTAGAATGAGTAATCTCTTTCATCCATGGGGCCCCAATTCTAATGCTTTTTAATCGTCTGATAAGGTTGTTTTTAAAGTTATCTCAAATGAGAGGCTCCATTTGACCCAGCTATTTGACACTGATATCTTCTGATAATTAAGTGTCATACCACAATGATATGTGCACACCCACGTTTATGGCAGCACAATTTATGTTTATAGCAGCACCCATGTATAAAGCTTGGAAACAGCCCACATGCCATTAAACAGATGAATGGATAAAGGAAATATGGAATTTATGCACAGTGGAGTATTACTGTGCCATAAAGGATAAACGAGTCATTTGAGGGTGAAAAGATTTACTTTGAGACTATCATTTTGAGTGAAATAAATCAGACACACAAGTTTAAATGTCACATTGTTTCACTGTGTGAGAAACTCTTAAGAGTAAGGAGCCAAGTGCAGAACAGAGATTGAAGAACACATACAAATAGGAAGGAGAATAAGGGGGTGGCAAGGAAAGAAGGGAAAGGGATTTTAAAAAAAGAAAAAAAATTAAATACTTCCATGTGACTGTAATTGACTGAGTTTCTCATGCTGTAACAGTTTCATCAAAGTCCTAGTTTTATGCTTTTAATTTATTAGGGATTCTGAAAAACTTCAAATTGATTATATTCATTTTTCTGGAACCATAAAATCCTATATTGCTGGATTTCCAGTGCTATAATGAGAGCTCTGAACCTTAATTTTGTGACTCATGTAAACCTGAGTATATATTCTGGATTTGTTCTGGGCGATTACTGGTATGTTTCTACAATCTTGTGATTTCTGCAGTCTCTGGAAAGATCCAAGAGGAAAGGATCACTTTGAAAGCAGATTCTCCATGCACAGCTGAGGAGCAGCCATTCAGTTACGGCAGCTATGTGGTAAAGACCCAGGCTCAAACCCAGGTCTACTAACTCACTGCTGTGTAACTCCCAAGCAGGTTGCTTTTCTGAGGCTCAGTTTTGTCTTCTGTAAAAGGTGCTATTAGCTGCATGAGGCTATTGTAAACATTTAATGAGGTAATGCTGAGATTCATTCTCCCCTCATTTGCTCCCCAAATAGATTTTTTTCTCTAGGTCAGAAGCTCTGAAGTTACCACTGACTTCTGGTTCCCTTCCCCTACCTCTCATTTCTACAGGTCAATCAGAAGAACCCACAGGGATGCCCAACAATTAAAACTGTCCTGTTCTACCCAGAATGCAATCTCAACTTACCTCCCGACCTCATCCACCGACTAATTGAATCTGGAGTGTCCCTGCTGTCTGGTGGAATTCAATTAAAGCTTTCCTCACTGATTGCTCTTGAGTCAGGATGCACAGCGTGATTGCCCTTTAATCCTAGCACTATGGGCAGGGTGGGCGCCCTCTGGGAGACTATGACAGGAGATTACAGCAATCTAGAGCCATGACATTAGTTATGCAGTGGGCACACTGTCTACCTGAGTCTTGAAGCTTCATCCATAAAAATGAGGACAATGTTACCCATAAAACTTCCTTTTGGCAACTTCAGTTCCTGGTTCATGACATTGCCTATTAGTTAAATGCTCAATAAATATTAAGCTGCTTTTTCCCACTATCACACTTTCTTCTCTCCTGCTTCTTTTCATGGTGTTTTAGTACTACAGGAAATTATTTTAATGGTACAGATACTGTAATGCCATTATTTTAATTATTTTAATAACATAGCTATTACTACTGGACTGCATCTTGCATTTTTACAATTTACTGCCACTCAAAGCAACTGAAAGACATTAAATGATGTATTTAAAGTGTTGTAAAAGCACTTGGTACTTCTCACGGGACCCTTTGCTCCTTGAATTGCTTAATTTGTGCATGAATCAAAGCAAAGTTAAAGTCTCTGTAATGTATATAAAATTTTTATTTCATTTCTGTGAGTAAGGCAAAGTATCTTCAAATTAGAGTATCTTCTAATTTGAATGTCATCAACAAATTAAGATCCAGGCAGCTGAAAAATGACCAGGTTATATTAAGTGTGGGAGCATTCTCTGCTCATTCTTTATCACCCTAGGCTTTGACACACTCTTTGGCTCAAATTGAAAAAGAACAAACCATTTTGCAAGTAAAACATCTCAGTATGTTAATTTACAATAAAAATTTAGACAGAAACTTATATCTCTTGCAGGTTTTGATATATTAGATACAAAGGCTAAAAATAACCCATGTGTTCCAAATTTCTGCTTCTTGTCAATTTGAAGAAGCAAATAATTGCAGAAGATGGACAGCTGCTGGGAGAGCACAGGTGGGCTTCTGGGCCCAGTCAGGAGAGAGGCGCTGCCTGAGACGCTTTGCAAGGATCTGAAGAGCGCTCTGTGCCTGTCACTGTGGGGACAGGGTGTGGGGAGGTGGGGATGACACTGTTTCACTTTGCTGGAGTGTTGAGCTAAAGTTTCAATGATACCCTTCTTGCCCACACAGGTACAAAATGCTCCATAGAAAACATTCATAAAATATTAAAAATATAACAAGTTATCCTGTAGAATTTAAAATTAGTTAAAAATTTAAAAAGCTTTGTCCTGTTTCTTATATTTTTTGAAAATTATGAAAACACCACAAACATGTATTATAAAGCATCACTTCAGAAATATGACACTTTTTTAAGAGGAAGGACTTTGGAATGAATGGTTAAAATCCATACACTATATTTTCACTAGAGTTTCTAATTAAACACTTAAGTCTCAGTATGAAGAAAATAGTTTAACCACATCTTTTTTTTTTCCTTTTTACCATTACCACTTAAAAAGTTTACAAGGAAAGTCCATCTCTGAGAAATTAAGTGTAACTAATTTTAGCACGTGAAATGGTCACTTTGCTGTACACTACACTATGCACTGGAGAACATGAACATTGTTCCACAGTCTGTACCTAAGAAGTCTGCTGGCACAGTACAAAACTTTCTGCAGCATTCCCTGGGCAAACATCAGTAGTCACATGGCTAACTGAGATCGTAGTATTTCATTTGTTTTTGTGTATGAAGTTCCCAAACTTTTGCATAAACCCTCGAAACTTGTTTTCGTTGGGTTGATATGCCTGATAAACACCAGCATTGTAATTAAGCATTGGGCTGGACCTGCCGTAACTGTTGCCTATAGATGTGCATTTTCTTTCTGGGTGGTTTAGACTGGCGTTTGGAACATTGCCTGCTGGCTGAAAGGCGCTCTCGATCTTACAAAATGGCTCAAAACGACTATAAACACGCTGGTTTGTGGAGTGAGACCTCAGCAGCTCGCTGGGCTTCGGCCTTGGGGAAGAGGTTAATCTTCTTTCAGGAGCGACAACCCCACGATTTTCCCTTGAATCCCGGTACTGGATCTGCTCAGTGTTAAATCGTGGGGTGGAGGCATCGGCTTCCTTCTCCAAGAACTTTCTCCCAGTTGGACTTGGAGAAGGTATTATTCTATTGCCTTCATCTGATGGAGAAGTGATGTCCTGAGATGGGCAGACTGTCGTTACATCTTCCTTACTCTTGTGGAGGCTGCCTTGCGAGTTTGATGAAGAAGAATGCTTCCTTCTGGGAGACAAATCAGCTTTGCGTTCTGATTTCTTTGGTTTTTGATTCTCTCCACCCTCGGACGCTAATGTGTCGGAGCTACTGCACATTCTGTAGAATGCAGATGTTTTATTTTTGGATAGATTTTCTTTCTTTTCTGGGGTAAGGCTAAGTAAGGACCTTAACTTCTGAGATCCCTTTTTCAAAAAACTCGGAGATCCCTTGACGTCTTTCTTTGAAGTGAGTTCCTTATTAGGGTCCTCTTTATTCACATCAAGTAAAGCAGCAATGGAAACGGACTTGGTAGCGGTGCTGCCAGCGGGGACCCTCCTGGCCGCCTCCTCCTCTACTAGGTTTTGGGCCACATTGTGCATACTTTTAGAGCTTTTCAGCAAATCCTCTTTGGGTTTTTCTGGTTGTCTAACTTGATTCCTTGTGAGTGTACTATATACATAATTCTTACTGTTTCCATGACCTAAATTGGATTTTGAGTGGTCAAAGGATGGAAAACTTCGTCTTTTAAGCAGATTTTCCTGTTGTTGACTCTTGAGTTTTTCTGTCTGCTTATCGACACTCAAGCCTGCATGCATATAGTGGTTTGCTTCTGTGTGGCTCTTTGCTGCTTGGTTTAAAACTACTGACTGGTGTTCAGGAACTGGCAGCATGAGGGGTTTTGGTGCCTCTGACTGTGTCAGGGTCTTGGGACCTGATTCGGGCTGAGGTTTCTGTGTCAAACGCTGTGCATCCTTAGGGGTGTCTGGGACCTTCTTAGGTGTGTCACTTCCCTGGGAACCAATGATGGTTGAATTTGAAGAGTCCGTCGTACAGCTGTTAACTTCTTGCTGCTCAGGTAAAGTTGGCTTAAATGCAAAAGAGGAACGAAGGCGAGAATGCGTGTAAGGGGTGCTGGTTTTCAGGTTCTCAGGACCCTCACAGCCTTCGCAGCGCTCGCCTAAGGCCGAACCATTTGAATCCAGCACAGCTTCTGACTTATCATTTAAGTAGGACTCAATCCTCCAGCTGCGCAGGAATGACTTGGTGGTGTGCTCCAGGGTTGGCATTCGTTGCTGCAAACAGCGAATGTGATTGTCTGTCCCATTGAAAGACCTGCGCACGTTAGAATTCCTTTCGGGGAGATTGACTGTCTTCCTCTGGGCGAGCCGGTCTGCAAAGCTCTGGGCAGGCGTGTTGTAGAGGCCTGCATAGCCCCCTCGCGAGGAAGACGCTACACTGAGGCTATCTGACGGCCTTTTCCAGCTCCCAGGTAGGTTATTGGCTCGATTCAGAGCCCGGTTAAGCAGCAGGTAGGGTGTTGTTTCCGGCTGCTCCCCAGCGTAACTATGCCTTTTCCAGTTTTCATTTTTCTGACTTGGTTGCAACTGACGCACTGTACTTGGAGCATTAAAGTTTGGCACGAAATGAGGTTTGTATCCGTGATTTCTGATGCTATACTTGTCATACTCATTGAGGGCATAGATCCCCCTGCCTTTGTAGTAACTAGAATCCAGGTTATGAATTTTGTCTTGTCTTCCAAAAAAGTTTCTCTGGCTGGAAATGGAAGCTAAGGAAGAAACCGAGCGCTGACACATGCCGTTCTCCCAGGGCACACTGCCTTGCCTGGACCTCGACAGCTCCTCCTGGGCAAATGGGCTGGGAACACAGGACCTGGCGTAGAGAGTTCTGAATTCCTCATCAAAGGACTCGACAAGCTGGCCCGTGATTACCTGAACCATGCTGAGGTGAGCTTTCTCAAAGGACCACATGTAGCTGAAAGAAAAAAGAGAAAATTTCACTTTTGCCAAGTTGAAAGACTGATCACAAACGATCCTCCTAAAAACGGCTCATTTAATAATGAGAAATTTGTGTTCCTGCCTATGATAATTTAGAGTACTTCTAACAATCACAAGTCCATAATTTGTGTGCCTTTGTATCCCCATGTTCATGAATTAAGTGACAAGGCAACCAAACTTCTGGCTATCGGCCCCTCAATTTCTTACACCACTCTTTAGAAGCTCAAAGAAACGGGGGCTATGCATTTTACATCTGCCCCTAATAAAAGTGGACAGAGTCAAAATCCTAACAGTGACACTGTGTTTCACATATCTGCTCCTGGCATTGTGCAGAAAAGTCAGCATTTGAGGAAGAGTTGGAAGTCTGGCTTCTGGAGAGCTACAGCCACATAAATGTGGGCTTCTCTTTCTCCATACAGTAAAGAAGGGCATGGATAGCATGAGGGGCACAATCACCCAGAGTTCCAACTTGCAACAATGCCAGGCAGATGTGTGCGAATACATGCATTTTAAGAGTCTCGGTGCCTCAGACTCTTGTTATCTCCAAGGTCTACACAGTGAGCATCACTTAGGCTCCAGACAGCTGTAAACAGAAGCCACAGGAGCCGCCCCATCACTTCTGGAAGACTTCACTGTACTCAGTGAACTCAGGGCTGCTCACTGGAGTCTCATAAACCTGCTCAAAATGCCAAGCAGGATCTTTCAACAAACATAATTTCTGGAAATTAAAGTTTGTAATGAGTTCACAGTACTTTGTGGAACTTTCAAGTCCTTCCCAAAAGTTTGGTGTTGACAGTCACCTTGCAGCTTCATATATAGTTCCAAGTATAATTTTGAAAAACCTATATGGTGGATTCGAAAGGAACAATGAGCTAGAAAGAATGCCCTTCAAAAACGGTATTCATCAAGCAGCACATATGATGCAATGAGAGTTAATGTAAGAGGAAAATGAGAGAGATGCTGTATAGCCAAGGAGCTCACTGTTTATGCAGGGGAAGTGGGAACACAAGCAAAGGTAAAGATTTTTAAATGTACAGAGTAACCATTCGAGATACCAAGAGTGTTACAAACTGAAACATACAGCTTAAGACTCTTCTTATTCTGGCAATGCCCAAAGTATGATCTGCTTCGGGAAAGCTCAGCCCAAGGGAAGTGTTCACAAGGGCTCTTTAGAGGAGGCAAACAGGAAACGGCGTGAGTATGGCTGAAGACTAAAAAACTTCAGCCTAGGCAAAGATACACATATAAAATGTTAGAACATCAAGTAACTGAATAAACACTCATTGTGCAAGTATGTGGGAATCCCAAGAGAAAGTGGGAGCTTGACAAAATTATGACTGTGGCTAGACACTGGATAGCTCCAACAGGAAAGACATGGAAAGACCACGGTATGGAAAAAGAAACACACAAAGCAAAGGAAGCCTTGAGAATTACGCTCTGGTGAAACACACGGAATAGACTGTGTTAGCCGAAGTAAATACTAGGCAAGGTTTTGTGAACTAGAAGGAGAAACCTTGAAATCAAAGCAGAAAGTTTGATTGCCTAGGGTTTTTCCCCAAATTTGAATACATTATAGTAGAAAGGGATGTGAGAAGAATTCCTTTTTTTCTAATAGTAAATTTTAGTTTTATAAACTTGAATGACAAAGAATTTTTTGAAAGAAGAAAAAGAATTGTTATTACAATTCTTATAACCATAGGAAATAAAACCATGTTATGAAATAAAAATAATCCCGGGTAGTAACCTTAGGAGACTGAGACAGTAAGGATACAGATGACTGTGTGGCAACTGGGGAAAAAAGTTACCTGCTTTGATAAATCCAAACATCGCAATAAAATTTCAGGTGACAAGAAGACATTCAATGTAATATGTTCCACAGGCAGATCTGAGGCTCTGGAGATGTGAGACAGGCATCAGGATGTCATCCTGAGTGGTTTGTTATGCTCCAGGAACTGTCAGCATGGTATCTGTGTTGTCATCTGTGACCTTTCACACCTCTCAGGGTTAATGTCTATCTCTACTTGTAATTTTAATGCCTCTCATAACCTAATACTCTGAAACATTGGTTGTCAAATATAATGTGTTCCAAATTTGTGTCCAAACACCCAAAAATTCAAGAACTGAAAGTATTTTTCCCATAAAAAATAATAGAACACCAAGGAATTTGAGGCCCCCAAATTACACAGAGAAATTCATCTTGTGAATTTCTGCAATGATTTCCTTCTTTCACTCTCCTGTGGTTCTCATAGTTTTCCTCCGAGCTTTACTCTGGTATGACTACCTTTGGAGCCACCCGGAAAGCAGGATGACCAGGGTTACGGTGAGGCCCAGCACTGCTGTCAGGGAAACTGTAAAACTGCAGGCCTCAGGGCTGCAAGGAGACGCCACCCTTGATTCCCTCTCTCGGGGTTTTGAAGTCAGGTTTTTCAGCTCAGTTTGGTTGGAACACGCAGCAAAGTCCTAAATGCTGAGCAGAGTTTTTCCAACTTCGTTGCTTGAGTGTGACAGGGTGACCTTGGAACCACCGGACAAGACACCCACTGTATCACTAGACCTCCCACCCACAAAGGCTGCACTCCTCATCCCCTCCCACTTCCTCCCTTGTTTTATTTACTTAAGTAGGTGGCTCAACCATCTTCCTAAGTGACACACACAAAAACAAAGTGTGGCTTCTCAACCCTCACTTTCCCTAAACCAGTGGGAAGCAGCAGGACCCGCTGCCTGACCCGCAAACCCCTAGCAAACTTCCACCCCGCTGCTAATCTGAGGCAGAAGCTGCAGCGACCCCCGGCCCTGTTTATTGCTGATTTTTCACTTAACAGAACAACAGAAGTGATCTTTTCCAAATGTAAATCAATTCATGCCACTACATAGAATTTTCCCTTTTATTTAAAATAGAACTCGAGCTCCTTACCCGGCCTAACACAGTGGCTCCCCTGCCCAATCGGGGGGACAGTAGGCAAGCACTCCCCTTGCCGAGGCTCTCCTGTGGCACTGGCCTGCCTGTCCCCCAGGGCCTTTGCAGTCTCTGTTCTCTCTAAAATACCTCCCTTCCCTCTGTCAGTCCCTGAATATGTCCTCCAGCATTCAAGTGTGGAAAACCGAACCCCCAAATCCTCTGTGCAGGGCCTTTGGGAGGTAATCAGGATTAGATGAGGTCCTGAGAACAACACCTTCCATCCCCCCATGGTGCAATCAGTGGTTTCTGAGAAAAGGAAGAGACCTGAGCTACCAAGATTCACCCCCATGTGGTGCCCTGCAGGGTCCTGAACCCTGCAGAAAATTTCCACCAGGGGGAAGCCCCTCACCTGCACAGTTTCCAGCACAGTGTCAGACTAGGGAAAGGGTAGGGGAAGGGAGATGCAGGACGGTGCGGAGAAGACTGAAATCATGCAGATTGTCTTTCTGAATTATAAGTGTGCAAAGAAAACTGAAAAACTCACATATACTTGTATTAACAACTCAATAACAAGTTTTAAACAACCAATGGGTCAAAGAGGAAGTCACCAGGAAGTTAGAAAGCACATGTGAAACACATAGAAATGGAAACACAAAACAACTACAGATTGAGACAGAGCACCGCTGAGAGAGCTCTAGGAAAGTATACTGAAAACAGCAGAAAGACTGCAAATAAATAACCCAATAAACAAACAAAAGAGAGACCGCTAATAGGAAAAAAGTGAGGTTCAAGAAACCAAGAAACAAAGAGTTATACGAAAAGATTGGCAATAATAATTATTGATACTTTTCTGCGCAACTTTAACTGGAAGGCAAAATCTTCCAAATCTGGAGGAAAAATGATTTGGCTTCAATGATTTCAAGTTAAGCTATATATGTAGAATTATAAATTTTGGTCTGAGAATGTACTTTTATATAGTTGGGGGAAAGAAAGAAAATATGCAAACAAAAACAAGAAAATGAGATTTTAAAAATCAGGAATATGGGATATACTAGAAATCTAGCTGTGACTGCAGCTTAGTTTAGACTGGACATTACAGGATGTTTGCAGTAACTGAGCATTTGGAAAAGTTACTCATATGCTACAAAATTAGTGTTATCAACCAGAAATAAAGCAGTTAATAAAAAACAGGAAGCATGATAACAAACTAGCTATTAAATTTGTTATGAGATTGAAATGTCACAAATCACTCCAAGCCTTATACATGATCAATGCTGACAATTAAAATATACTTGAATTTCTAATTAAGTGCAAAATTGAGATACAACTATGTTGGAAGCTGAATGATATGAAAGGAAAGTAGATGAGTAGAAAATATAATTCCTCAATTACCATTATGAAAAGCCAAGACACAATAATAACTGTAATTAATAAATTGAGAAGAGCAGCATAATCAGTTCATGTAAGACAATAAAATAAAGATCAGAAAAACAACTGGCTAAAAACAAGTGCATAGGAGCCACACACGTAACGATGAACACCTGTAATTCCAGCTACTCGGAGGCTGAGGCAGGAGGATTGTGAGTTTGAGAACAGTCTGTGCAGCAATAGGAGATTTCATTGTGGAAAAAAAAAAAAAAAGGAATTGAATAATTGCATCTAGATGTCAGGACCAAGAAAGGCTATAGACACAGCAGAAAAACTATTGTTTTATATTGCAAATCGTTCAGTGATGTTTAATTTCTTTATATGTAAATATATCTAGTGAGAAAAATATTCACACCTCCCCAAAAAACCACTCTGTCATATTAGTCATAAAGCTGTAGTGTGGTTTTGAACTCACATACTAAAACAGTGGCCTTAAAACCTCTGCCTGGCGATCAGATTTTAAGAAGCAAACCTGAGGGGTGCAAGCAGAGACCTGAAATGGGTTACCGCACCAGTCTCAAATGTGACAACCTGCCTATCTGACCTTAACTTAAAAAGAGTCTTTCGAAAACAACTTTTATAGAGATACAAATGTAAAACCTTTACAATTTTCTCAGTTCAATCTGTGGGAAAAGCTTGATGATGCTCCAGATTTTCACAAACAATATCAAATGAGGATATCAAATAAAACTTTTATACACACTAGTTAGCCAGTATGCAAGAGTCTCATCTCTTCAGTGTTAGTATCATATTATGGTAAAACTCCTATTGTATGTACTTGACAAAACTGTTTGTCATGGTTGATACACTGTGTCAACTTGGAAAGTTCAGAAGTTTAACTGAGAGACTCAGCAGGGAACCAGGGTTCTTACTTTGTAGATATGCTTATACTGCATAAAGGAGAGCAAGGAGATTTTGTGAGTGCTGCACCCACCCTGAAGTTGGGGGATGTGAGCGAGGGGGGGTGTTGCCTGTGTACAATATTAGCCAGGAGAAGAAGTTTGTTTGCTCTCCTTTTGCTCTGGCTGCTGCTTTGAACTGTTGCCTCAGTGCTATGCCACCCTGCCTTGAAGCCAGCTGATTATGGACTGAAACCTTCACAAGAGTGAGCTGAATAAACTTTCCCTTCCCTAATTTTGGGCATCAGGTATTTTGTCCCAACAACAAAAGAAAAGTAACTAAGACAGAATTTGGTACCAGAGGACTGGGTTCTTTGCTGTGACTGTTCCTGACCATGGGATTCAAGAGCCTTTGGAAATGGGTTGTGGGAAGAGTTTAGAAAGGTTCAGAGCTGTCACCTGAATGCATGGAGCTGGAACAGGTTAGGAGAGATTCTGGGTCAGAGCTCAGGAGACCAAAAGACTGATAGAAAGCCTGCCTGTAAAGACCAGGTCCAGGAAGATTCTGCTGGGAAGAAGGACTGAATTGGTTGTTAGACTTCACACAATGTGAGTTATGGCTTGGCAGAAAGTTTGTCTGCATTCTGCTCATGTCCAGAGACTTTGCCTGAGACTCAGATTAAGGGCAGCAGATTGATTAATCTGGCAGAAGAAATTTCAAGGCAGTTGAATGTTGAGATTGTGGCATGGCTATAGTTGAGGGCTTTTAGCCAGATTTATGTTGCAAATCAAGAGTAAAGAGCCCAGCAGGGTGATTTAAACTGTTGTGAGTTTGGCCAGAAAGGAAGCTCCAATAAAGCTGTGGACTACAAAGATAGAGCTGAGATCTCAATTGCTGTGAAGAAATACGAATAGAAAAGATGGCCTGAAGGCATCATAAAAAGCAGCCAGTGTTTAACCTTTGCAGCCTCCAAACTGCAAAAGTGGAAGACTCTGCTTAGAGGGGAAAGCTTCAGAGCACCATGATCCAAAATGGTGGTGGCGGCCACACCAGGTTCCAGAATGGAGACAGCACAGAGAATCTGCTTCTCAATCAGGTTCAGAGAGCCCAGTGATCCAGGCACTCCACCCCTAGAGCCAAGAGAGAGGGAAGCTTGGCTACTGCTCCAACTGGCAGCAGACCTCAGCAGCATCCACGTGGTGCCAGTTTTAGGTGCCTACAGAATACAAGGGATCTGAGTAGAGGTTCTGCTCCAATCTCAGAAGGAGGGGCCAGAACTGAACGAGAGCCCTCAGATCACACCCCAGCCCAGTGTCTGCCTCTTCTACCCAGTCCCCAACTGCCAAGAGCACTCAGCTGCCCAGCTCTGATGGACTCCCCCGTCCATGAGCCCAATGCACAAGCCCAGTCGCTGCCCAAAGCACTGTTTCAGAACACCTGAGCCTCTGGGAGATGGTCTGCACTGAAACATCTAATAAATGTCTGAATTCATGTCTTCATGCAAGAGTTCCTTCTTTATTTTCAAGACAGCTCTAAGCCAATTGTATTAAAACCTGAAACTATTTCAAAATGAACTTGAAATAACAAAGAACAGAGCTGGGAAAAGAGGAGTTACAGTGAACTGTGCAATAGAGATAGAAAGGAAAGACACAAATTTTTTTTTTTGTCCCTGTCAATCTGAAGTTGCTCAGCAACAGTCATGACATACTTAGCACTGATTAATACCTACTAGTGGCAAAACTAATTTGAGGTGAATACTATGAAAATATCTTAAGAGGCAAGTTAAGTAATACAAATAGAAATCATTGATTATGATGGGCTTAATAAGAAACACCATTCTATGTCAAATAAACTCAATTTTAATTACATTTTCAATGACAAATTCTCTAAAACTAGAATTAGAACAAATATAGACTCATATCTAAGACATTAAAAGGACTCACTAATTGTAAGCACTAGCTGCAAGTTCTCCTCTTAACAAGGCTCCACCTGGAATACTAACCAGTTTTTAAAAAATAAAAGGTTCCTGAGCTTAAAGGGACCATGAGGAGAAGCCCTGCCTCACAAATCCTAGCAATGCTCGGAGTTTGGGATGTGTTCACCTGTTTACTCCTCACAATAATGGTGACAGGTACGTTCTATGATTTTTCTCATTTTACAGCTGAGGAAGACAAAACAACTGGATTAAGGAACTTGCTCAAGGCTGTGCCTTCAATATGGGGCTCTTCTCCTCATGGACTGAAGCTATCTATTCAGGAGATAGAAGGGTCACCTCCCACCATCCCGTCACATCCAGCGTCCCTCCCCGAGACTTTTTGTACCTTTAAGAAGGTGCAGCACCGGTGACTGAGCAGTCAGTGCTGGCTGATGTCTTCACCTATGTGTTTATGCAGCCTTCCTCTGTGGATCACTCAGGACGGAGTCTAGGGACTTACGAGGGATGACCGGGCAGTATCCACACGCTGGACCACACTCACCTGGACTGCACTGCAGTCTTTGGTTTGATTCAGTTCTGAGTAATAAAACCTTGTGGCCTGTTTAAATGTCCCCCTAAAGCCTCATGCAGTCATGAAGGTGGCTGAATGTAGCATCTGTGATTGGTTTGTTGTCTAACACTGGGATTGGAGGTGTGGGTGCTGCCCCTGCCCAGGGACAGAGCCGGCATACATATACGGGAGGGAAGAAGGGGTGCTTTCCCTTTTTGCTCTTGTCATCTGTGCCCACCCTGAACAGCTGCCCCTTAAGCTGTACCACCCTGCCTTGGAGACAGATGAACATGGACTGACACTTTCAAAAACTGTAAGCTACATAAACCTTTCCTTCCTTCATTTTGGGGGTCAGGTAGTCTGTCTCAGTAATGAAAGAAAAGTAACTGAGACACGAAATGAGAAAAACCCATTTGATAAGCTCTTCAAAGAAGAAGACGGCTTTGATTTTTATGAGCTCACTGTTATTACAGCCACACTAGGCAGCATTTGCACAGAGAAAACCTCACTTACGGCACTGTAGAGCCAGGGGTGCTTTAGCTCTGAGTCAGCCCTTGTGTTCTGGGTGAAGAACTCAGAGCTTGGGAAGTGATGTGATTTGCCCAGAGTATTAATGTTGTTCTTCAGAGGCAGAGCCTAAAGCCCAGGCCTCCCAGCTTCATGCAAGAGTTCCTTCCTTATTTTCAAGACAGCTCTAAGCCAATTGTATTAAAACCCGAAACTAATAAATTATTTAAGTGGCTGATAATGCTAAACACAAACGCAATGTTCTTACCTGTAAGAACCGTATATGACTTTCTGACAGTCAACTAACAAAAATTTCTGCTCCATTTTTCCATGGAATTTTATTCCCAGTTTTGAAAGATAATCTTGGCCTCTCACAGTCCGAACTCGAATGTTCTAAAATTATATGTACATAGAAAGGAAAAATTATGGCGATTAAAGAATAATGGCAAAGGAGACATTTTGAAAAGTAAAAAGCATATCAATATAAACACTTACTATCAAAAATATTAACCTGAAATTAACTTTTAAAACACATAAAATTCATGGAAAACAATTTCAAAACTTATCTTTGAAACTCAATACTAAAGAAATATAATCATCTAAATAATACATTTTAACATAGTGGAAAGCAGGAGATAATACTTCATGCTGACACAAGATGTTTCATAAATATCTTGGATCTTTGGATCCTACTATGAGAAATCTTCATAGCTCTTAGTACATGATAACGAAATAGCTAAAATTAAAGTCTGTTCTTCTTTTCAAAAGGGAAATAGAACTGCAGGCCGATGCTTCTGCGCAGGACACCTGCTGAGTCACAGAGTCGCGAGGGTGCTGGTGGCCCTCACAGCAAGATTAACTCTGAAAAGCACATACGAAGGTGTGTATTTTCAGGAACCTTTGGTGATAAATCATTAACTCACTGTACACAGACATACTTTCGTTTCTACTTTTGGAAGAATCTTAACATGGCAGAAACTTAAGATGAAAATGATGCACAGAAGTACGTGAGAAAGAAAGAGAAATATTACCCGAAGACGTTGAATCTGACAGCCCTGTTTTTCAGTCATACTGAAAAAGTGATTAAAGTTGAACTCATCAAGTAAAATGTACACAGATACGCCTCGAGTTGACGCCTCCACTATTTCTTTGAAAATGTCCACGTCTGTAAATATATCCATAACTAACGCAATGACCTGTTAGAGATAAGAATAAGAAGCAATTAGGGTACTTTATTGGTACATTTTAGGTACACTCATTGATCACATTCATCACAGGGAATTTGTATGTGTACATGATATATCTTGGTTTTTCCTCCAATTTCCTCCTCTTGGTTTAACCCTTCGTCGCCCTCCCTATTTGCAAAAGCTTTGTTTCTATTTTTTATGCTTCTTTTTAAATTCTTTTCCCTCCTTCCTTCTTTTCCACATTTCCCCTTCCTAGTTTCCCAACTAAGCATTTTCTTCCTATTTCATAATACATATTAAACATTTTGGCTCTAATTTATGCTTTCTGTCTCTTACACCGGAGAAACAATATGGTATTTATACTAATGTGTCCAATTTATTTCACTTAAGAGTATGATCTCAAGGTGAATCCATTTACCTAGAAATGTCTCAAATATATTCTTCTTAATGGTTGGGTAGTACTCCTTTGTATTAAAAAAAAAAAACATCTGCTTTATTCACTCATTAGTTGATGGGCATTTGGTTTATTTCTAAGATTTGTCTATTACAAACTGCTGCTATAAACACGGGTCTCCATACACTTCTTAAACTGCTGTAATATGATGCTTTTAATTCTTTTAGGAAAATACCTAAAAAGGGGAAAAAGCTGGCTCAAATGGAACCTCTCCTCCTACAAAGCTACCTTGATAAAAGTGTGGTACTGGCAAAAAACAAACAAACAAAAAACAGATCCGAGGATCAATAGAACAGGTTAGAAAATGCAGAAACAACTCTAGACACACTAAGCCACCTTATTTTTGACAATTAAGGTACTTAATAGAAATAGATAAACAAATGTCATAGCTTCAATAGATACTAAACACAAGATGCTACGGGGAATTCTCATCCAGGTCGTTCACCACATTTGGCACTGTGTGACTTCCCGCTCTTCCCCAAAATAAAAATGGCCATTAAGGTTATAATTTGATTAAGAACATTCACAATCGAGGATTCCCTGCTGCAGACACAGGGGAGGATGATGGGATCAGGGAGGTGAAGGGGGAGGTTTACAAGGACTAATGGAAACATGTACTTCACTATAATTTTTGAATTTTTTTTAAATCGATACCAGGGATCAAACTCATGACCACGCACTTGCAAGGCAGGTGCTAATGCCGCTGAGCTAAATCCCCAGCCCCTAATTTTTGAAAATTTAAAAATTCCTCCTGATAAGACCAGGATGTCCACTGTCACCTCTGCTACTCAGTATAATCTGGAAACATTAGCCTGAGCAATCAAACCAGAAAGAAAAAATAAAAGGAATAAGGATAGGAAAGCAAGAAGTCAAATGTCATTATTCATAGATGACATGATGATAGAGAGGACCCCCAAAACTCCACCAAAAGACTGGATCTGATAACCAAATTCAGTACCAAAGCTGGATACAAAGTCAACATAGTCAAAGTCAATAGCATTCCTGTACACAGATCACAAACTCAATGAGAGAGAAGTTAGAGGAGCCACACCCTTCACAATAGCTTCCAAACTAATGAAATATTTGGGAATCAATCTAACAAAAGAAGTAAAGGATTTATATATTGAAAATCACAGCACTTTGTAAAAGGAGATCAAAGAGTGTATCAGAAAATAGAAAGACATCCCTTGCTCATGGATAGGAAGAACTAACATAGTGAAAATGACCATTCTCCCAAAACTATTAAATGGGTGTAATGCAATCCCAATCAAAATGCCATTAACATACCTCACAGAACTGGAGAAAACATTCTTAAAATTTATCTAGAAACAGATTAGACCTAGAATAGCCAAGGCAATCCTGGACAGGAGGCATCACAAACCCTGAATTGAAATTATACTTCAAAGGCACTATAATAAAATCAGCATGGTACTGGCAAAAAATCAAAGCTACCAGTGGAACAGATTAGAAGATGCAGACACAACTACAAACACACACAGCCACCTTATGTTTGACAAAGGGGCCAAACATATTCACTGGAAGGAAGATAGCATCTTCAATAAATGGTACGGCAAAAACTCTCTACATGCCGAAGACTTAAACTAGACCCATGCCTATCACCATGTACTAAACTAAAGTCTAAATGGGCCAAAGATCTAAAACAGAAACACTAAATCTACCAGAAGAGAAAGTAGGTAAAAATCTGAAGACATAGGGGTAGGCAGAGACTTCATGAACAAAACCCAAATGGTACAGGAAACACTTCAAAGCATCAACAACTAGGATCTCATTTTATTAAAAAGATTTTGCAAATCAAAAGAAATCACTAACAGACTGAAAAGATAACCTATGGAATAGGAAGAGATTTTAGCCAGCTGTCCCTCAGAGAAAGATCTTTTATCTAGAATTTTTATCATATAAAAATTGAAAAAAAAATCAGACACCTCAAATTCAAAGACCCAGTTCAAAAATGAGGATCTGAGATAAATACACAGTTCTCAGATGAAGAAATACAAATGGAATATAAATATATGAAAAACTGTTTGACATCATTGGTCATCCAAGAGATGCAAATTAAAAAAAAAAAAAAAAAAAGAATGAGATTCCATCTCACTCCACAAAGAAGGGCTATCAGCAAGAAATCAGCAAATGATGGAGGGCCTGTGGCAAAAAGAGGAAGACTTTTCCACTGCTGGTGGGAGTGTAGACTGGTGCACCCACTGTGGAAATCAGTGTGGAGATTCTCAAAATCCTAGGATTGCAGGTCCCATTCAACCCAGCTATTCCCCTTCTGCGTATTTTCCAGAAGAACTGAAAACATCATACGATAGTGATATATGTCCACCCATGTTTATAACAGTACAATTTGTAACAGCTAAATCCTGGAAGCAGTGCAAATGTCCATTAACTTAGGAATGGATAAAAAATATGTATTTTTATACAAAGGAGTACTACTTAGCTACAAAGAAGGATAAGCTTGAGACATTTATAGGTGAATGGATGCAACTTGAGACCATACTCATAAGTGCAATAAATCAGACTCACATGTGTGAACACTGTTCCACCTCCCTAGTGTAAGAAGCTGAAAAAAGTAAATGGGATTCAGTAAACAGATATTATGAAGTGGAACGAAGCTGTCCACAAGGAAAGAGAAACTGGGGTAAGAGAAAGGAGAGAACAACGAAAAGGAAATATACATATAAATAAATAAATATATATGCCTACATTGCCAATCAGTTTTTCATGCCTATAGCTTGTAACAGACGCCAAGTACTTTGAAAATAATACAAGATGCCTTAATCACTGTTACTCTCATGCAGTCTTATTTTGAAATTTTGTACCATTGTCTTTATTTTCTTTAAAATAAAATTAAAAAAAAATTCCCCCTGTTTTTCAATCACAAGCATGTGTAGCTTTGGACACTAATAAGTTTCACAGCAGTGAGTTAAAGGAAGTCTGCATTTCAGTAGGGTTTTGAGTGATGTATGAACCAAACTACAGATTGCATAGCGGAGATGAGGGAGTAATTGTTCTTGGGAGACATATCCAGGGACAGCCAGGTTTCCAGGACTAGATTCCCTTCAGCTTGTAGTTGTCATTAGTACGTGTTCACAGTGCATAAGCATTCCATGCCTCGTGTGGAGTGGCATATATGAGTAAAGGTCCCTTCTGTAGTGTCCTGGGGACTGTAAACTAGTGCAGGCACCTACGGAGATTCCCCAAAATTTAAAACTAGAAATTCCACTGAACCCAGCTATTCCCCTGCTAGGTATCTTCCCCAAAGGGCCAGAACCAGCATTTTGATGTTTGCTTGTTTGTGCTTTTGAGACAGGATCTCACCGTGTAGTGCAGGCTCACTTTGAACTATGTAGCTTAAACTACTGCAGATCCTCCTGACTCAGCCTCCAAAGTTCTAGATCACAGATGTTGCCACCACGCCCAGCTAGAACTAGTTTTTACAAGCTAATAACATAACCGGCTGATCAACTAGCATGTACCACACATCGCTTAAAATTTTACAGACATGAAGTCACAGTCCCTGCTCTCAGCCAACAGTTTCTCCAGGCAGAAGACACGATGTAAAAGTTAGGAGCAAACTAGGTAATAAGTTACAAGTTGATAGGCGATACGTGGGGAAAATCAAGGAATACAAAGGAGATTCTGGGTTCCAGGGACTGAGGAGGAGGACCATGGGTACGCAGGATGAATTCCGGGAGGGCTTCTGAGTTTGAAATCAGCCCGGGGATGTCAGGAGCAGGTCAGGCCAGGGCAGCAGCATCCTGTGAGGGCGCATTCTGGAAACAGGGAAGGACGACAGAAGGAAATGGGAGGCAGAGCGACCGCCAACCTCAAAGGCTTTCTCAGAACTCCAGTGTTTCTTTCTAAGTGAGACGGTGACACATTAGAGGGCGCTAAGCTACAGTGATGCTCTGATCAGACTGTGACTTAAAGGACTGTTCCGGCTTCGCACTGAGAACAGACCTGAGGAGTCACAGCATGCCTGGAACCAGGGAGGCCACTTGGAAGGAACCCCCAGTGAGCTCTGAGAGGGTGGGCAGCCGGCCTTGGTGTGGAGCAAGAGTGACCAAAAGCAGCAGCGGGTGGATAACAGATGTCCCGGCCAGGAGGGGAGGGAGCCTGGGCTGCAGGAACCCGAGTACAGCTGCAGTAGATTCTAGGTCCACATAAAGCAGGGCAGTTGAGCTTGCAGGGCCCAGGTACCCAGCTAGAATGCTGAGCATACGTGAACTGGGGGTCAGCGACACAGCCACGCTAAGTTCGACAAAGAGACCAAGTTAATAGAAACAGGAGGAAGCCCGACAGCCACGCAGACAGGGCACCAGGGACCGCAGCAGGACAGACTGGCTTTGCCCTGCCAAGCGACAGGGAGGCTAGTGAAGAACTAAGAGCAGAGGCTTTGTGGATACCAGATAGAAGACGTCAGTAACCCCAGCACTCCGCAAGACTGAGGCAAGAGGATCCCACATTCAAACCCAGGCTGGGGAATTTGGTGACCCAGTAAGACAAACAAGCAAATTGGCTAGGGACACAGCTC